TGTGGGTGTGGGTGTGGGTGAGGGTTTGGGTATGGACGTGGGTGTGGGGAACTGTATCTTCTTTATTCACGTCCACCCTATACCCACACTCACCCTAAATTGTAATTTATATTATCGTGATAAAAAAATGAATACCTAACTTTTGGAACGAGATGTAAGAGGACGAAATGTAATGGGACAAGAGATAATTAGGACGAATTGTAAAGAGACAAAATGAAGTCGGACAAAAACCATTTAGGACGAATTAAAAAAGGACGAATAGTAGCGGACAAAAAAAAAAGGCCGAAATGTAGGGGTACCGGAATAATTCACAATGATGACTAATATTAAAAATAGATTCTATTACTAAATAAAAAGTATAGAAATTTTGAAGAAAAAACTTCAGCTTGACAAATGACAAGAATATTTCGTATCAAAAAGACTATACAATATTAGAAAATAATTAATTAATAAAATATTAAATAGGAGATAAAAATCTTTGATAGCGACATAGACAATTCGTTATAAATTTCGTATATACACTTTAGTTATTTTTCTAATGTTAATTCAATAAAAATAAGCTTATCCATAAGTACAACAATACCATAAATTATTCGAAATTTTCCTTTAGATAATATGAATTTCTCTAAAATATTGCTAGATGAGTTCTATTCTTCTTTACCATGTGTGCTGTATAGTTAAATCTATATGAAAATAGTGGTTTTATAATTCAATAGAATTCTTTGGTAAAAATATAATACATAGTCAGAATGAATTTGAAATATATATACATACCTATTTTAATAAATATGGAAAGCGTACTACATCTGAGAATAAGTTATTTTATATAGATGTCGTCATGAAATTTTCTATTGCCTTAAATAAATCATCAATTGACTCATTGCATTCGTTTGCTTTCATATCTATCATATAAAGACACATATTATTATCAGTTTATTTTTCATATCAAAATAGTATGCATTACGAATCACATGACGGTCACAACTTGTGTTAAAATGTTCTTTTATCGAGTAGCATTTTTTCTTCTTCTTATCTCATGTTTCATAGCCTTCATCCAGGCTGAAAAGCATTTAAATGCTAATGGACCATTTGGAAAACGTCATACAGTTCATAATGAACCAAGTCCATATGCTTGCGATAGAGGTGCAGGTATATCATCATCATCAATTTTTCGTCGACGAACTCAAACGATACAAAATATAAAAGTATCTAAAACAGTTTATATGAGTACTGATCAGATTCAAATAACATGGACATCAAAATCACCTTCATGTAAAGATGATTTTATTGGTATTTATTACAATGAAACTTTTCTTACAGCAGGTAAACAGATCTTTGTTTTTCCAAAATTGATTCATATGAGAAAATGAATTATTTAGCTTGTGATTATTTTGATTTTGAATTTATTCAAAATAAACAAACAACTATGTTATGGCAAATGATTAATCTTCGTCGTCCTTTACATTTTCGTTATTATTCACGTGATAATACATGTTCAGGCAATTATTCTCTTATTGCTATATCTCCTATCGTTCAACCACTTAATTATAATGAACCAACTCATATTCATATAGCTTATGGTGATCGTTTTGATCAAATGTTTGTTTCTTATTTAACTAATTCATCACAATATATTCCTCAATGTCAATATGGATTATCTCCATCATTATTAAATTTGTATCAAAATGGAACAACAACAACATATACAGCATCAGATATGTGTGAAGGAAAAGCTACACTTTGGGGTCCCCAATCATTTATTGATCCAGGTTATATGCATACAATTCTACTTGAAGATCTTCGTTCATCAACAACATATTTTTATCGAGTTGGAAATGATAAACATGGATGGTCATCTATTTATTCATTTCAAAATCGTCCATCAACTAATGATGAAACTGTATATATGATTGCATTTGGTGATATGGGTTTATCACCAGTTGAACCAGGTGCAAAATCTACAATTGATCGAGTGACAGCAAGAATAATGTCAAACAATATAACTTGTTTATTACATATTGGTGATATTAGTTATGCTCGAGGTGTCGGAGCTCTATGGGACTCTTTTATGACACAAATTCAACCAATAGCAGCTCGTGTGCCATATATGGTCGGAATAGGTAATCATGAATATGATCATGTATTAGGTGGTGAAAATGATCCAAGTGGTGCACCAGGTCCTGGAGGATTTCGACCAGACTGGTAAGTTATTTCGTTGAGATAATAATTGGTAAACTATTTTATTCATTTTAGGGGTAATTATGGTTATGATTCAGGTGGTGAGTGTGCTGTACCAATGGTCCACCGTTTTCATTCACCATCTAATGGTAATAGTCTTTTTTGGTATAGTTTTGATGTTGGTCCAGTTCATGTTACTTATTATTCAACTGAACATGATTTTCGTTATTCATCACCACAATATACATGGCTTGAAAATGATCTTCGTTCAGTGAATCGTACTCGTACACCATGGATTATTGTTGGTGCACATCGACCTATGTATGCATCAGAAACTGATGAACCTCAAGATTTTATTAAAATAATGTTACAAGTTTATTTGGAACCATTATTTTATAAATATCATGTTGATGTAAATCTTTTTGCACATAAACATTCCTATGAACGAACATGTCCAATGTACAAAGAACGATGTATTAGCGATGGTATAACACATGTATTAATTGGTATGGCTGGACAAGATATAGATAGTGGTGAATATTCCGGTGCTGAATGGAGTATGTATTATGATCAAGAATATGGATATACTCAATTATGGGCTAATCGAACATATTTTCATTTTACATATTATCATAATGATAATGATGCACTTATTGATCAATTTGTACTTAAAAAATAAGTTTTGATTATGTATATAAATTTGTAATTTATATTTTTATTTGATAAAATCATATATATTTTTTTTCTCTATCTAAAACATTCAGAATATATTATAAAAAAAACTTGATTTTTCTTTTTCTCTTATTATCTTCGATTAACTTAATGTATTAATGTAAATTGTTGCTATTTTATCTATTTTTCCATTAAAAATATATCAAGATGATACATTTCATTATTTTTTTACATTTGTTCGATGAAGTCGAAACCTGATGGTTATATTCTATTACTGCATAATAGACTTAAAATAAATAAATATATTTTTCTTAAGAAAAATGGTATATAGTAGAAATATAAAAGAGACTACAGATGATAACAGTAGATCAACTTTGATGTTGTAGTAAATCATGATGAATGAAAAATTGATGATATGATGTACTTTTCTAACAGCATATTTCGGTTAAAATGCTTTTTGAAAATCATATCGATGCTTATGGAATACAAATAAATAGAAATGAGAAAGTTTTAAAATAATGTATAATCACAAAAAACTATCTAAATTGATTATTGCGTATATTCAAAATAAATAGTTATGAAAAGACATGTTCATCAACCACAAGGTATAGAGACTTTATTAATAAAAATAATAGTAAAATAATAGCATTCAATTATTATGTTGATATGGATTAAACAAATCATCAATACAGTATTCAATAGTTATATTATACATACAACGATCAGTACGTGATTATACTATTATTGTTAAATAACAACAAGTAATCGAAAGTGCGACATACAAATATTTTTTGTATGTGAAAACAAGGTCAATATAATATCATCAGAAAAGACATCCGCAAATACAATTGATAATAATCAACTCGTCTCTTGGGAGTATCTTTATTGTATACGTACAATTATAACGTAGTTATTCTCTGAAAAGAATATTGGATTTGATTTTTCATATTAGCATGATATATACTTATAAAATATAACGAAACATAGTGCGGAACAAATACAGATTGAATTTATTTAATCCTAGGAAAGATTAATACATTATTCTAATTAACATCATATAAGGATGATCAAAAACAACTACTCAAAGTTATTATAATGGATAAAGAACTAAACTCAAATGCTTGAAATAATAATTATTTTTTTATAAATGTTCTTATATATTTTTGTATAATTCATGATTACAAGGATAATCAAGATTTGAGACAATAAAGTCCTATTCTAATAGTTTAATTGCATGCTACATATTTGTATTTTGTATCTTAGCCAAGATTAATATCACATAATACTAAATAGCGAATAGGGTTATGTCTAACGTAAATAAGTGTCGAATATACGGTTGTTCTAACTCTATTTGAACGACGCCGAATATAAATAATAATGATCCACGTGATTTCTACTGTTACTATACAAAATGGATAAGAAAAATATCCATTTGAGTTTATATCTTTTCTTCACCAAAGCGATGACCAATACTTTTTCTTTTCTGTTCTGTCTACGTGATATTGAACGGGTCACTCACATTAATAAGAAAAAAAAAGTCTATCGTTGTTGACCTCGGTCAGTTATTCGTTGTTCGAACATCGAGAGAACAAAAAAATAGACATCCATTCTTTTCCTTCTTTTTGTCTCCCGTGAATTTCTTTGTCCGCTACCATTTGTTCATTGGTAAGGCAACTAACGGGCAACTTAACAATTCATATATTCCATTTTTTTCTGATCAAAACTTTGTGAACAAGTTATTTCAAGTAAATCTATATATTTAAAATGACACCAACACCACCGAAATTTGGCGTACGATTTTTAACTCGAAAAGAACGTACTGTTCGACGAGTTACTAAATGTGAAACACGAGAAATTAAAAAACGTATGTCTATTGATTTCTTGAATTTAATTTAAAATAATGATTCATATTAAAGGTTTGGAACCATTACCACCACCACCGCCGCCATCATCATCGCCAGCTGTTAAAAAGGTTAGGCAACGTATTGCACCTGCTCGTCCAAAACCTGCAACTCTTGTTAAACCTCGCGAACCTAAAAAAGTTGTTAAACCAATGATTGAAGTATCGAGTAATCAAACAGAACAAGTTCGATCAGTATCAACAACACCTACGGCAAATCGTTCGTTAGCAGCATCTGGTCGTACATTACAAACAAATGATTTACAAAAATTATCTCGTTTAACTTGTTCACGTGAATTTAGTTTTTTTCATAAAGAAATCAAATGTGAGTTAAGAACTCATGAACATCAACTTGCTTTTTTTCAAACAAAATTATTTCATTTGAAAAATGAATTTGTTAATCAAAATTCTGAACAACTTAATTTAGAACAAATACGAACTTATTTTGCTGAAGCACTTCAAAAGAATATTGATCGAAGAATAAAACCTGATGAATTTATAACATTAGCTGATAAACTGAAACAAGATATTAAACAAGTAAAAAAATTTTCTTTTATAAAAAATGATTATAATTTTTCGTTTCTTATTAAGGCAATTGATAAATGGTTAAAAAAGAAAGAATTTGGAAAACAAAATCGTGCATTAAGTGATTATACACAAAAACGTCAATCACGTATTCGTGAATTAATTAAAGAAAGTATTGAAGAAACGAAGAAACAACAAGAAAATTCTGAAATGATTGAAAATGGAGATTCACAAGTCTCTCCTCCAATAGAAGATTCTCAAATATGTCAAATAGATGAGGATCTACAAGACCAGTGCCAAGTAGTAGAATGTATTGATTAGCCATAAATTATATCACTTTTTCTTGTAGTTTTTTTTTTCCTCTTTTTAAATTTGTATCAAAAACAAAAGCATAGGCTTTTTTTTCTTTCCGTTGTCTTTTTGTATCTATTTAAAGAAAAAAAAATATGTCTATTGAAAGTAAACCATTAATTCTGAATGGAATAAACTATGAATTAAAAGAATAATGAAATATGTTATATTCATCAAATATATTGTTAGCTAATTTATTCTACCATACTGTTGACTTTCTTTCTATTGATAGTATACAGTACTTAATTGATAGAACTCCACAAAAGGGTTGTACTCATAGTATGAGTCTCATACTAAGATATGAATGAATTACAAAGTTTATAATCCATTTAGTTTCTAGATGTTCGAACAGAATTGTTCATCTTGATCTGATTTTTTGCTTAGATAAAGACTACAATCAGTTTCGCTAAATTTTTTGAACTATAGGATCGTTATACAAGATCTACATCTCAAATAGTCTTTTTTCAGTAGAATTTGAACGTACGATTTTCTTGACTTGATAAAGTAATCATATTAAATTGTAGTAAGTCTCAAATATTAGTTTCATAGTCATTCCTTCTTCGTTTAGTTTTAACTGATACAATATGATATAAAGAATCTTAAAGGATTTTCTCGATTCAAATTAATGGACATATAGTCGCTCACTTTCATTTTTTATTAAGTAACGATATTTAGATGATCATTAAAATATTTAGCAAACTAATTACTGATATTCTTCTTTCATACAGATAAAATATAATCATAAAATATATATTGATGGCATAACTAAAATTCCTATAAAAATTTAAGTGAATGAATAATATGTTCAATCATTTGTTGTCTATGAATTTTATCATCGTTTTCTTTCGTTTCGAATACATATGTAACATCGATAAGGCGATTATCATTCGTTTTTAATACGACACGAATACGATCTTGTTCATCCAGATCTTGATTATGTTCGATAATAGTTGCACTCGCATTAGGATTTAAAAAATCATGTTCATATGTAGGACGCATAGCATCAACACCTTGAAGAACTATTTGATCATTAAATATCACACGACAATTCGGATGAAGAAAATCAATTATTTTGTTAACATCGTGTTGATTGTAAGCGGACAAGTATTCAGATAATAAAGCGTAAGTTGTCATTGTGTAAATATAAAATTATATCTTAAAATGAAGATAAATAAAATGCTATGCTATGCCTTATATATCATCTAATTGGTTCTTCGTAAGTTGTAGTAATCATGCAATAGAATGTTTAATTGATGATCTAGAAATTATTTCGTTATGAAAAGGATTCTTAGTATTTTGTATTATAAATAGCATCGGATTTTTATTTCAAAACTATGAATTACTTTTGAAAGTGCTAGATATAAATAGTGTGTAGATGTCGTTTTTTTACTACTTATTAACAAATGACAGATATGGTATTCATTTGATAGATATATTTTTATTGATTGTATGACGAACTGCGTATATTCGCATGAAAAATGTAGAAAAAAATCACTTCATACTCTCAATAAATATCAATATGATATAAAATAATAGATCACTAATTAAATAGCCTAGAGTAACTCGAACTTTAACTCCTTTTCTAATAAGTTTTTCTCAGATATATTAGAAACGTTATTCAAAATTCTATCTAGTTTGTCAATGTATTATTCAAGGTCTAATACTTTAAAGGATTAATTTGGCAAACAATATTTTTTGCTGCATATTTAAAAATATAGATTTTTCACTTTCATATTCCTTAAAATTTTAAATGATAAACATATGTCAACTTACTATAATCGATACGTTGAATTTCATCCTATTTCAATAATATTATTTTACTATTCAATATTTTTTAGAGGATTGTTTTTGTTATTCTGTCAAAAAATGACACATAGTTTTTTACTATTTGCTTATAACAACCTTCATCTAACACAGTCATATACTGAAAGAGAATAATCTTTGATTGTTATCTTGATATACATCTATATTTAAAACATTATTAAATGTTCTAAAAAAGAGTATTTTATTATTTATCATATATACGTATATTATTTTAAAGAATTTAAAATAAATGGAAAATATTCTACATGAAAATGACAATATTAACGATCAAATAGGTAAAAGAATATTTATTCCAGCTATTGGTTCATTAGGAGATGTCAAACCTTATTTAATTCTTGCAAAAGAACTTAAAAAACAAGGTTATATTGTATGGCTTGGTGTACATAAACGTTTCATGGACGAAGTACAAAATAATGGTAAGTATATTAAATTTAAATATATAAAATTTATTTTCTTTTTTTTTTGTATTATAGGTATTGATACGGTAGAAATTGGTGGTGATATGGAAATAGCTTTATCGACAACACCTGATGGAATTGAACTTCAACGTAATCCTAGTATTTTTAAAATGGGTTTAGTTAAACGTGTCTTTTTACCATTAATGGAAGAATGGTTTAATGGAATTCTATCGGGTTTAAAAAATGCAGATTTAATTGTTCTATCAATAACATCAGTTTTAGTTGGATTGAGTTGTATTGAGAAAAATCCAAATATGAAAGCAGTTGGAATATATCTTTATCCTTGTAGACCAACATCTGAATTTGCTCCACCAGCTCTTAGTGGAAAAAGTGAAAGTTTATTTCAATGGATTAATTCATTTAAGTGGAAAATATTCGAATATGGTGCATCGAGTATGTATAATGATAAAATAAATCAATTACGTGCTAATATTAATTTACCACCAATTAAACTAACTTATGATCAAATGATTCAGTTAATTTTTAAAAAACCAATATTAACTGCAACGACTTATTCAAAATGTTTACTCGCACGACCAGATGATTGGTCTGAAAATGAATTGATGGTTGGTCCAATTATGGAAGAAGATAATAATAGTTTTGAACCTTCAGATGATCTTCTAGAATTTTTAAATAAATATCAAAATGAAAAGATAATTTATATTGGTATTGGTTCAATGATGAGTATGATGTTTAGTAATGATCAACAATTACAATTTTTAGAAAATATTCAAACAACTATCAAAACTATGAATTGTAAAGCAATTGTATCATTAGCTGGTTTTTATAATGTTAGTGATAATAACTTAGCAAATCATGAAAATATATTTTATTTAAAGAAAAATATTCCACATGCATGGTTATTTCCAAAAATGTCAGCAGTAATTCATCATGGTGGTGCTGGTACAACTCATGCTGGTCTACGATATGGTTTACCAACATTAATACTACCTTTTGGAGCTGATCAACCATTTAATGGTGATCGAGTATTTATAAATAGATTAGGACCGAGCCCTCTTCCTATACGTCAAATGACTATTAAAAATTTAAGTAATGCAATTGAAGATCTTATCAATAATTATACGATCTACAAGAATAATGCTGAAAAAGCTAGTCAATTGATTCAAGATGAAAATGGACTTAACTGTTGCGTTCAACTGATTGAAAAAGAGTTAAAACTATGATATTTTTTTTTGTTTTGATTTATTAATTACTTTATAATTAATAAAATGCTATCAAACATAGATTGTAAAAGAACAATATGAAGGTAAATTAACGGTTTTAATGGACAAACACATATCACGAATGAAATTGTAGTCTTGGTTATGGTTTTTCTGTTGAATAGCGATCTTAATAGGAAGATTTTTATTACTCGATATATGTCTCAAGTATAATAATATTGTTTCTATAGATATTATGTTTATAAAAAAAATCAACTTTTTTCCCAAAAATCTGGATCATCTTTTATTACTCGAATTGGATCGTTAACATGCATAGTGCCTGTAATGTGACGACTTTGGTCCGTTGATACTAAATCAATTCCAAATAAAGAACTTGCACCATACGGATCTTTCTTGAGACGATAGCTACATTAAAATATTAGTTCTAATCAATGTAAAAGTATGAATAAATACTACCTTCGTAATGTTTTATATGGTTCTGAATTAGGATCTTTAATGCCTGTTTTTGGATCAACTGTTGGTAGTAGACATCTTTAAATCAAAATAAAATATCAAAGTAAATAATTATCAAGTAATACTGACCTAGTACACGGTGCAACCCAACTTAATTTAACATCACCAATTTCAATTTCTCGCCAATAATCCTACATTATATAAATCATATTATTATATGGTCTCCCGCATTGAAAATTCTTATTCTACCTCATCAAAAGGTTTATTTAAACCGGTTGAAACAACATTAGGTCGAAAGTTATAGATTTCAATTTTTTTTTCTAATCGTGTATTAAGATCAGATAGTGATTGTAATGAACATATATGTAATGGACTCATATCATGATAAGCAACAACATCTCCATCACGAGCAATATTAGGTACATCAGCATCTTTTGTTGCACGACCTTCGAATTTTTCATCATCGAATACAACTAGATCGAGTTCATCTTCTGTTTCGAAAAAAGTTCGAAGCCATTGAGAAACATTATCATCGTAACGTAACCCAAGAATAGGAGCATCCCAACAACTAAATAAATATATATATATATCAGGTCTTTTGTGAATAAATGTAAGTTACTCACGTGCATTCAAGCACTTCTTTTGGTAATGGATTCACTGAAATATGAAGATCTGGCATGTTAGGAGCTTGAAGAGACAGACCATTTTCGACAATTACGGGCTGAATAAGTGTCATACGAGGTAGAACACGTATTGTTTGATGTCGACCATTTTTTACTATCATCCATCGTCTAAGATAAAAATTATAAAATAGATTTCTTTTAATTATTCTAATGTCGAATCAATCTACCTATCAAATATTCGAGGATTTGATGGGACAGCTAAACCATATTTTGTCATAAGTGCTTCTTTTACTTTAATACCAGCACATGATTTTATTGGATAAATGATTAATTCATGTACATGCATTTTTTTTGTATTAGTAACAAACAATAACAATAGTGTATTTTATTAAAATGACTATATTATTTTAAAGAGCAAAACGTTTTTTTTGATGAAGTTACTAACCTGCTGCTTTTTTATCTCAAGAATGACATTATGGACATAGTATAGAAAAGAGTAAAATAAAGCAAATACAACATAGAAAAAAAGAAAGGTTATCGACAGGCATACACTCAATCAATACTCTTGATTGCCATCGCAACGTACCACGTGTTTAGCGTTATAATCAAGAACACCACGCGGTTATTTTGTATATCCTAGTGTCAATACACCGTTTTTTATGTTGCTTTCTTACCAGCATCTGATTCTCTATTACATGAAAACTTCGATGTCGTACGGCAGGATGTGAATGCATATATGCACGTTATCTTACAAGTAACGCTCATCCAAGGACTCGCCTAGCTCTTTCTCGTCGAAATGTATTTCCTTCACATTTACTGGAAGAACAAATGAAAATCGTGAAAAACTGATTTTCGATGTTTTTTTTGACTTTTCACCCATCCTCATCTACCCACCTCATCATGGTCACCCAATAGACGTCAGATTCGAAGTCCCCACATGGAGAAACCCCTAGAAATGTCTTTTTCTAAAAATCGATTTCCAATGTTTTTTTTGACCCTGTAGACATACAAACAAGCAGACAATTTATGTTTACTGGACTCTTCTCTACGAGAAAGAGAATAAGAATATCATAATAAGTATATCACTTTTGGTATTTATTATTTAAATTTATTGATACATATATATATGAATGTGGAATAAGCGATGGAAATTATCTCTGTATCAGATGATCTTTTCGATAATCTTTATGATTTTTAATACTGATTTTTCTGAGTGAGAACAGGATTTAATAGAATGACACATTTTTGTAAAATAAAACTAATCGGGGTAATCGATGTGGTTTATTTTCCTTCACATAGTAGAAAAGTAGATAAACTGATCACTTTTCTTTCCTCTTTCATATGAATGTTATTTCACAAAATAAATAATATTGATATGTCTCTACACTTAAATAAATAGGATTCACAAGCAGTATATTCATAGTATTATTTCACGCAATGATTATGATTTGTGTGTCGTATATCAAGCAAATGTTGAATTTCGTAAAAACTAGGACTCGAATGTTTATACCTGAATCCCAAGCTTATCAAATTCATCATATACAAAGGCCTAGGACGATGCTTTCTGACGCAGTATTCCTTGAATTTCCAGCGAAACCCAGTACAAGGATACGACTATCGCATCCATTAATCGAAATATTACGTAATCCGCTGTTTCCGTGCTGAACTATGCGACCTCGAGATACGATCATCATTATACAATCGATGATTCTATGAATGCTTTTTTGGGATTAATTAATTTGGTTATCTCATTTTGGTGGTGCAGATCCAGTATCGAGTGATTTTGATAAATCAATAGTTTTTCCTCAAATCGAGTGTTAAGCGTCATTCCTATGAGGGTTGGATAGAAAATGATATTTTTATCGTGATTATTGAATATGCATAAAAGAACTATTAATGGGGCGATTCGCATCAATAACCAAGCTGAAGCGTAGCATTGCTGATTCAATTCTATTATCGAATGTATACATCCACTTCTTTGAGTTTGTATTCAAAGTCTTCAAACGGAAGAGAATTATATTCTCTGTCAAATTGTTAAATTAATGCTAATTAGATATATGACACTCAAAGAATAATTTGGATTATAACAAGTCGTTAAAGAACCTGATTCTCTACCCACATTCAACATTACTTGAACAAATATAAGGTCATGCACTTAACTTATGAGTCATAACTTATTGTTAAATTTTTTTGAATCTTTGTGTGTAACATTTTTGTAATTAAATATATTGAAATATAGGCCTATCTCATATATAACTAATCTTTTCGACGACTAATTGTCGCTTTCCCATAAGTTTTACATTTATAGTATTAACTCAAGTGTCTTCTTTGAAGTAACCTTAAGTAACATCTGTTTAGTTAGTTATAGCTTGTATCATACAGTATAGAATATTGGTCCATTTGTTTTTGATACTATGTGTTATTTTAATTCCAAAGCATGAGACAAGTAAACATCAAATAAAGGATATAAATCATATCAAATTCTTTTTCATGGATTGTTAATTTCAGATTGAACTTATAAATTATAAGATTCTATACATATTAAGTACATTTGCATGTATCACTTTCTATTTTTGCTCTTTTTCAACTACGACTATATTAAACTAGTTTATATACAAATTTCTTAATTGACTGTTCAATAAAAAAAATATACAGTAATACTTTATCGAAATAAATTTGTTCTATTTATATTTAAAAAACAAAAATAATACATATATAGATAGAAGTATATAACATCAAAAAAAAACAACATTGACCTCTTCTTCAGAATATTTATAAATAAATTATTAAGAAAAAAAAACTAAACTTCAATATTTCGTAGAATGAAGAAGGATAAAAATACAGTCGTTTTTTTGTTTTATTTACATTTACTTCTATATTTTCTACATAATAATTTTTTCTTTTTCAAAAATATGTTGTTTCTTCATCTTGCTGTTCAAGAATTCCTGAATTTGTAACATATTGACTCCAGAAAATATTTATTTCATTGAAGAAGTAAACGATAGTTAAATTAAAAATTACCAAAATGATAAGACATATTTGAAGTATTGTTGGTGAAAAAAATGCATTCTTATCTATTGTTTTCTTTACTGATACATCCAATTGATTCTAAAATAAAAAATTTAAATGATTTTTTTAAAATTGATTTATTTAATAATTTGTACTAACAGACGTTTTTTTATATGTATTATTTTTCCATGATCGTGATAATAATTGAAGTTGTTCGTCTGTTTCACGCATTTTTTCTAATAATCGATCGTAACGTTGTATAGTTTCGTTGTGTTCGAAATTTTGTGAATGTACAATATCAGATACAGGAGGTGCAAATATAATTTCTTTCTTCTCTTCATACTGTGAATTAGGTGTTAAAGAATAATTAATCATAGAAGAAGTTTCATATAAATCTGTTGATAATGGATGAAAAGATTGATGACGAACTGGAATTGGAATCATAGAAGGAGAGGCACTTCGAAGACATGGATTACTTGATGAACGTTCTGTTAATAAAGGTGGAAACAGTTCATTCCTATAGAAAATATCAGATAAAAATATATTTAAATCATACAAGTATTTTTAAATTTTATTTACTTTTTTGGTGGATTTTTAACTATTTTATCTCTTCCTTGATGAATATATTCTCTAACAGGTGACCAAGAAATATGTTGTCGTCGATTTAATGGACGACTAAATTGATTTGAAAAAGTATGCCAAACAGTTGGTTCTGTTTGTCGTGAAAATCTTTGTTCTGAAAGTGATCTTGGTTGTTGTTTATTAATATTTGGACGAATATATGTTTCTCCTCTATATGGTTTAATATAGTATTGAAGTCGAGATTGACGATGAGAATTTGAATTCGATGAATCAAATATATTGACAGTTGGTTCAAATAGAGAACGACGAGAAGCTGGACAAACTCGAGATGATGTTTGTTTGGCTGTTGCTTCAGCAAGATGTTGAACTTGATTGACTTCTGAACGTTGTGAATTTGTTTGTTTTTTCTTTAGAGAAGACGAAGAAGGTGATGGTGAACGAGATCTTGTAGATTTTAACACTGATCGGTTTTCTTTTTTTTGAGATTTTTTAAGAATAGATTTATTAGGTGAAGAAGACAATGGAACTTGATCGGTAATTTTATAATGAATTTCATTAGAATTTTCATTTGGTTCATAATGTGTATCTTTTTCCTATTAAAAATATTTAATTTTATCATTAAAAAAAGTTTTTTTTTTGAAATATTAAAATTTACTTCACATGCAAGAATATATTCTCCATCTAGACTATCGTGTTCACTGGGTGTTTTTGATGAAATTTCTCTATAATATGAGTTATTCTTTTCATTCTTCGATTGATATTCATTCTCATAAAAATGTTTTGTAACTTGATCTTCAGAAGAATTAACTTGAAAACAAGGTTCTGTCTTAATATGAGTTGTTTTTGTTATTGGTAATCGTTGTTCATCATCAAATTTAACGCGTACACCACGTCGATTAGAAGCAAATTCTTTTTCAAGTTGTTCAAATTGTTGAGTTTCTTCAAGAGCTCGTCGTTGTTCTTCAAGATAATTTGTACCTGTACTCGAGTTACTCATTGGCGATGTTGCGATCTTAATTACAAAGCAAATGATTATATTTTTTTCTACTTATAAATTAGTATACCTCATCATCACGCTGTTCAACGATAGGTTCGAGTATAGTTAAATCACCATAACGTCGATGTTCTTCATCAATATACATTTTTCGTTATACCACAAATAATCGATAAGAAACCCAAAAAAAAGGATCATTTGAAAAGGAGTAAGAACAGCTGCTACCTCGTTCTTTCTCTCAAATATACGTGGACATTTATGAATAGTTTTTCTCTCTGTGTTCGATATCTTGTTTATAGCCTTCGTGTGTCACATCTGTTGTGTATGCTTTTCATTGATTGTGACTAGTTTTTAAAAAAATAGTAATGTTATTTAAAAATACTTTTCTTTTCTTACTCATTCTTCCATTACAAAAAAGTATACGCATAAATGAACTGAAAGAAAATACGAGCTATTTTTGTTTTGAGAAAAATAATTCATGAAATTATTCGTGCTAACTTTTTTTTCTAAATCATTGTTGAATCTTCTCACTGTTGTGTTTGCCGGAATATAACTGGTATAGGAGTATAGATGTGCCTACAGTCTTACGTTTTCAATGTAGTCAATAGAGATAGAAAAGACACTAAAAAGATCGATCAACTACTGCCGATACTAATTACTAGAATTAAAAAACAATTTTTTTCTATTGATTCAATGAACTAGAAAAATATTTAATTGACAACATTGAATATTATACTATTTTTGCCTGTAAAAATTGAAGAAATTACGGAAAAGCGGTATAGTTTTCATAAATAGACTCCAGTTAAAATAGCTGAACTGATCTGCATTACCCTGAATTCATTTGATATTTTTAAAAAGTAGTTAATAGAGTTTTTAGTATTTGAAATATTATATCATTATATGGTTTGTTCTTTTATTGAGATATTTTCTGATTCCATCGAAAACACTTCGAGCTATTTATTCTTATTAGATTTTGTTTTTATTTTCGATTGTAAAGAGATATTCAGAATACATTTTTTAACACGAATATTGAAACTATCAATTATGAAACAATCTGTGTAAAGTTTGCATTTTTGATTGCAGCGTGGTTTGGTTGAGAGTTAAAAGATATAACTGTTCACATCCACATCTTCTTTTTATTGCTTCACTTGAATAAAATTTTCTTTAATATCTCGTTGCCACGCATCGATAAATTTCTGTTTCATGGATTTTTCAATGCGAAAGGCAACTTCAGCACCTTTTCGATCTCTTTCCATCCAGTGAGTACCATCGAAAACTGGATTGAGACGAAAGATACGTAGAAATAAAGGTGCAGTTCCTTCTGTATGAAAACGACATTTATTTGTATAACCAAAATCAACGAGATCTGCCCAATCATATCGATAATTTGAGTTGTTCAGACAACCATGTGGAATATGATCTGTATTGAGTTCAAGATCATCACGTGCTAGATTACGCATAAGACCATCTGCAGTCGCTAGTAATGAATGAACAAATGATGGATCTCGCGAACGAATAATTGAATGACGGATCGACTTTGCAATACTTGAAAGAGAATATGGATCTTCGAAATTTTCTGATACCATTTTTAATGCACAATTAGCCATGAGACCAGGAGAAGCGACTGAGTCAACAACACCACGATAGTTGACGATTGTGTTTGTGTGCTGAATAATTTGTTCGTTATTTTCAAAACAATGAGTATTTAGAGTAAGAATAACATAAGCAGTCATAACATCTTGAATTGTTAACATAACATTGTCGGCTAATTTATGTAGTTGGACAAGTTGTTCACCAAAAAAATGTATATTTATTTGATCATGAGTTGTTTGGTCTCTCATGGCTATTTCTAAGTTCTGTTTTGCTGATGCGGCATCTGTTAGATGTTTCAAGAAGGGTAAGACAGATTGATCGGCATTTTCTTGATACCATAATCGACGTTCAAAAAGAGGAGACGGCTCTAATGGTTCTAATTGTTGATAGAAACGAGAAAATGTATTCAAAAACTTCATATAAGCAAATGCATCACCAAGCACATGTGCCCAACTTGTACCCATTATCCACTCACCACTTTGCACAAGACGTGTTATTTTTATACGAAAAAGTGGCTCATCTAAAGAACCACGTAGTAGTTTAGCAGTTGATACTTTGTCAATAAATTTTGTTAATCGATCTTCTGCAGCATCCAATACAACATTCAAATTAAGAGGCCATTGTGTTAGTTCAGTATTCTCAACAAACGAAAGCGGGATGCCATTATCAGACATTTCAATTATATAATGTTCATCGTTGATTAAAAGAAAACGTCCAGCAATCAAAGGCCACAAAGAAAGAGTGCGACTAAGTGCTTGCTTCAGTCGATCCATATCTAAATCGGCCGGATAGACAAATACATCATTTATACAATGACTTATCCATAGATCAAGACCAGCAAGTTCAATTCGCTGATTGTTACCAGTCGTTGGTATTGGTGGAATGAGCCATGATTGCATACTTGAACTTGAAGCAGTTGTCTTGCGAAATAAATATGTTATCTTACGTAATAGTTATTCGACTTTGATTGTATATAGAATTTATCAAGATTCAACTAAATTAAATAAGAAGTATCAATTAAAGATTCAGGAATAGTTACAAAAAATTTTAAGTAATGATTTTCTACCTATTGATACTATTTCATTTACTTCTGATACAATACTACAATTGAAGAATAAGAAAAGAGACGAACGAAATCGTATAGATTTATTTTGATTACTTGATTGTGCAGGTACGTCTGCTTTACTTCTACTTCAACTCTTTGAATATGGATAAGTTTGCTTCAGATGAAATCTCACTACGTCTATACTCTCCATTGTTGTCTGTATTTTATCGAAAACCACATTTTAATATATTACTTTTAAAGTCTTAGTGCTCGACTGCTTAATAGAATACTCATTTCCAAATATTGCCTGTCACCTTAAATTAAAATTGTTTAAGTCATATTATTGTAATATTTTTTTCAGTAACAGAAAAAGGATTTCATTGGTTATAAAAAGCTCACCTCAGTGACCGTTTCTCTTATTCTAATCATACATTTTTTAATAAGTTATTCTAGTTTAGGAAACTACGATATTTATTTTAGTGACATTCATAAATGATGAATACTGTAGTGTGAAAAGGGAAACTTGCAAAAAAATATGAAGTATTAACATTCTTTACTAATAAAACTGCTTTTGAAAATACTTATTGGTGATGAAATACTTGTTACGTAATACATAACTTGAGTTAGCGATGATATAAAATATAACTGATATTGTTCTTCTACTGTTAACTGAAAGAGACAACAATCTTATCATATGCACATAGTTGCTACACATTACATATCACTCTCATTGATAAGACTATATTTGTGAGCTCTCCATATGAAGTCTGAGAAACTACACTTGAATATGTATTCATTTTAAAAGAAAAAGAAGAAAAAAACTGCTTCTCAAGAAAAAACAAAAAAGGAACTGCATGCCCTTTCAAACAGAAAGAACACGAACATGTCTCATTCGTGTCAATAAGGACAAAACAACGAAAAAGAAAAGACACGACATGAAAGAATGTTATTGCAGATAATATTCTTTCAAATAGAACAAAGATTAAAAAAGAAAGAAGAAGAAGAAGCGAGAACAATGTGATCGGTAACAATATTATTTATTTCTACTTGCATAAGTTTGTCAAGATAATATATTGATATTTACTGCAACCAATAGTATGTTGAGGGTGTAGATGTGAGTATATGGATATCTTAGCCATCCCGATGTCCTCATCTTTGTACTATTTAAATTGTTCTTAAATTAGATAATTTTCAATTTACTTTATACATGTAATCAATGCGAGATATATTTAATAGTTCGATGTATTTTTGCATTTTTTGCATATACAAATGTGCACAATATGATGGAACATCTCAAAATATGGATGTACGCATCCAATATTACAAATATTGAAAAATTCTTCTCGAAACAATTTAATCCAAACAAAACGAGTTGCTTGCATGACGTATATATATAATAGTATAAACTAGTTAGAGTAGATTGGATTCTACTGATTGCTGATTGTCTGGCATAAGAATAGGCATCATTCTATGATTTACACTGTGTGGATTTATATCAATTCATCTCTGCATTATGGTCTGTCGTCAAAACGCCCGATAAATATCGAATAATGTTGGGTTGAATGTTTGAGCCTACTCTTTCGTTTTCGTGCTTTATTATTTTTATATATTATGAACTAATCTGGACTACGATAATGAATACAACGGGTTAAATATGGCGAAGTTCAAAGACGTTCTAGACTATAGTCCATATATGGTTGTAGGACATTTCTCGTTAAGATAACTAGTCATGCCGGGTACACAAGACGCTTCAGACTATAGATTTGACGGATATTACAGATATTTTAGACTAATCAGGTCATCCGTCTTCGCCTTTATTTTGCTCACTTTCTGCTATATAATACAAAGAGCATACATTCTAATCTAACTGAACTTATCGAAATTTGATCTTGATGATCCTAATACACGTCTAATCAAATAGCATAGAAAAATAGCATATTCTTTTCTTGATCAAATTGTATTGAAAGAAGGTTTTATATCACAAAGTTTTTTTCAATGTAAACGATAATTTTTTTCTTATTAAGTCTATATACTTTTTTAAGACGTAAATGTGGCATCCGTACAAGTAATATCATATAAGGATTCATAGAAATCTACGTTAATTATAAAAAGGTAAGTTATTTTTGGTATGGTCTCCTACTGTGAGGAAATCCCTTATAGTGATATTTATCTGATTTTGATAGTCAGTAATTACTATTTATATCATATGAATATTATATCAAATTGTTAGAAAACTCATTCAGGCATCTCGTTCTTTCTCGTATTTATAATGAAGCAACTTGTTTATATGACTTGCTCATTTATATAATTTATTTGCCTCGCAGAATTACATCAATGCTTGATCATCATCCGTATCTTGATAATAATCTTACAATTCCTTTTTCAATTCGATTTTGGTTATATTTTTTCTCACTTATTGTATCATTCACATGCTGTCTCTATGTCCTCTATTACTTGCTCTTTGATCGTGTTCTACGACACACTATTAATAATCATGTTATGATCGTTCTCTTATTTATTACTTTGATCTATGAGCTTATTGACATTCCACTGTTTCTTAGCTTCTATCACTCGAGCAGTCTTTCGCCAACATGGCCAGTTTTGTGCTTGTTCTGGATATTCATTGATGGAGGATTCTTCACAACTGCATTAATGATCTTTGCATGGGCTTCAATTGAACGGTACATTCTGATCTTTCATCAACAATGGCTATCAACAAGCAAGAAACGTCTTTTTATTCATTATCTTCCTATAGTCACAATTCTTGTTTATTGCCTTATATTTCACATAATCACCATCGTGTTTCCACGTTGCTACAATACATTTTATTATGAACTACCCTTATGCGGCCGTCCTCTCTGCTTATATCAAGGAACATTCATTGGCATCTGGGATACTATAGTCAACAATGTTTTACCCACGTTAACAGTTATTATCTTCAACAGTGCAATTCTTTTACGTGTTTTGTTACACAAACGTCACATACGTCAAAAAGTTCAATGGCGAAACTATCGAAAGATGATTATTCAGTTAATATTCATATCGATTCTATATTTACTCTTCTATATACCGTCTATAATCGTAGAACTCGGTCAAGAGTGTTGTATGCAAAGTGAGATCGGCGCCGATTTTCAAATAGTTGCACAATTTTTCACGTATTATGTTATATTTTTCTTGCCTTTTCTGGCTGGAATATCATTACCCAAGCGTATACTCAGAACCAATAATATATTTCGCTGTTTTCGTCGACGAACACGCAATATTTCTCCTTAGAATTACACATGGTTCATGTAATGGAAACACAACTAAAATCAATACTATACACTCATTGTTCATTGTCGACTCCAATACAAAAGAGTTTTTGAAAACGACGACCGAGAGCGCACCCAACCACTTAAACTCAACAGATGAATCTCAGCATCATTATAGAAAATTTTTCGTCAAAACTGTGCATCATAATTGATTGTGCTTGAATCAAGAGAAGAAAATAGTGACTTCAGAAATTCGTACTTCAAATTTTACTTTATGTAGATAAAGTATTGTTTTCTATCCTCTTCTCCTCCCAATTTTCGGCTAAAAAGAAACCATAACATAACTGGTCTGTGTAGTTCACTTTTCATATTACTATCTTATATCTTGTTGATATTGAGTATTATTGCAACCCTTTTTTCTATTGAATTTTTTCTTGGAAAAATATTTCGGATTCAATTGTATAGTTTTTATTATAAATTACTTACCACAGATATTAATATGATTGTTTTGCGTATAGAAATTTCTTTATTAATCAAAAAACTGTTGCCACTTGGATTGAGAAATGTCATTGCTAGCGTTTATCGAACTTTGTAGTATTGTATCTGTTATCTCTGCGTTTCCTTCAAAAATAATAAATAATGATAACAATCACAGAAAATGATGTTTTCTTTGCTTATCTTCTACCCATGACTAATTTCATTGCTTATACAATATGAATAATAAGCAAAGAATAATAAAATACGGATCGCATAGAAAATTCGATTTAATATACTTAATCAAATGTAAAATTTATCTCATATTCAGCAAAGAGAGTTAATCTGTACTAACGATTGAAATTATCGTGACATATTTCTGACTAAAAAAACATTTACTACTAATATATAAAAAACGAGAAACCACTGAAGGATTTTTTCAGTCGATTGTTTTGATTCAAGAAGCAGATTTAGTTGTACAACAATTGTACCATTCATCGGGAATATCTTCAGTTCAATCATTCGACATTGTTCCATTGAATAGATTGACCGTTATACTCTATACTTTCAATCATACCCACATCCTCAAGATGGTTGTAAAGATCTGACAAAACGCATTTAAAATATTGGCAGATAGCCGAATATTTTTACAAAATATGATGAAAGCTGAAGCTTCTCCGCCAAACTTTTCGTACCCGGCTGGTTTAAATATGGATTATTTAATTTTTTATGGCGTCAACGTGAATATCGTTCAATTATGGAGACGTTGTTTGTCATACATAATACATAAAATCATATTCGAAAATATTTCTCTTGTCAAAACAGCTTATTTTTTATCAATGAGCGTCCGCTCTTCTATTATTGTAAAAAGAGCAAGAAAAGACAATACAATATCCATCAATGAAATGCGATTAGTTTAATTCAGCCATTGTGCTATTTTCATAGTCCCTCGTCAATTATGATCCTGCAGACAGAAATTAGTTTAACATATTGACTAGAACTAGAATATGTAATTCATCAAATGTGCATATGCAGAAGTTCAAAAAACTCAAAAAAGTGTTTAAACATGTGGTGCCACCACAAAATATATTTTTTGTTATTGATTGGATGAGTCATTGAACCTTTAGTATTACTCAAGAAAAGAGTAAATCTATCAACATACATTTGTTATAAACATGAATGTAGATGCGTTCATCGACGGCTTCAGTGGAATCGTCGGTAAGAAAGATTTTTCTTATTTTAATTAAATTCAATTTGAAATATTTAATAAAGGTGCAGTATCTTCAGTTTATGTTGGACAACCATTAGATACAATTAAAACTAAATTGCAAACGTTTCCGAATCAATATCATAATTTTTTTGATTGTACATTAAAAATATTTGCTGAAGCTGGTATACCTGGATTCTATGCTGGAACTATACCATCTTTGGTTGGAAATATTGCAGGTTTTATTCAGCTGATTTTTATTATTCCATTATTTTTACTCAAAATTTAGAAAATGGAATCCTATTTATGGCCTATGGTCAATGTCAACGTTTAATTTGTTCATTAAGTAATAAAACAAATAATGAACAATTAACGACATTCGAAAATATGCTCGCTGGAAGTGTTGGTTCAGTATTTTCATCTTTAGTTTTATGTCCTACAGAATTAGTTAAATGCCGATTACAAACATTGAATGATATGCCAATGAGTAATACATCAAATAATAGTGAAGCTCAAAAACGCAAAATAAGGTAACTAATATTTTTCAACTAAAAAAATTGAGTATGCCATTTTTTTGTTAATAGTTCATCGTTGAGTGTAACACGACATATACTTCGTACGGAAGGTATACGCGGTTTATTTCGTGGATTAACAGCAACATTAGCACGTGAATGTCCTGGTAATGCATGCTTTTTTGGTGGTTATGAATTCACACGATCAATTCTAATGCGTGAAAATGAGAAAAAAGCCGATATTGGTAGGAACGAATTTTTATTAAGATATTTATTTGAAATCTTTGTTTTCAAATAGGTTTTTTTAAGACATGGATCGCTGGTGGAATGGCTGGTGTTTGTTTTTGGATAGTTATGTATCCTGTGGATGTTGTAAAATCTCGTATACAAGTATTTGAACCATCTCTAAACTTCCCAAAATATACATTAGAAATTATACGAAATGAAGGTAAAACTAATTTAAAATTTTTGGATAATTCAAAATATTTTATTTTTCGTATTATAGGCGTCATGGCACTCTACGCAGGTTTATTCCCAACACTCATACGTACTTTTGTTGCTACTGGTACCCTGTTCATAACTTATGAACAAACTCGATGTTTGTTTTATCATGTACTTTGATTTAGGAAAAATGACGAATAATTTATTTTGACAGATTTAGTTTAGTCATGTATTTATTTGTTTAGTATTTTATTACGAATGTTTAGTACATTTTTCATCATACTTTCGATAATTTTTGCTCAGTAAATAGTTCAAAACGATTCAGTATCTAATCAATTTTTGTTCAGTTTTTTGATAATGTATTTCGGTAAAATAGTGTGTATACAATTAAAACAAATTTATCGAATTATCAATTCGATTTTGGATTTTACTGGTCTATTACGAATTTTTTTTTATCAATTTCAATAGCTTTACTAGCAGATTGTGGTTTGCAGTAGTTTAATCTAATTGCTATAGCAACAACATGTTTATAAATAAAGTTTTATGAAAAATATTGAATGATTGTATATACTATCTGACCATTTCTGTTTATCTACTAGTAATGTAGCAAACCAAATATTGAATATTCACGAAATATATCTTCGTCTGTTATAATCTTGTTTATTGCTTCTAAAGCATTATTTGTATTTGATGTAAAATATTGAACTCCTTCGTTGTCATGCGTTATGTGCTGTCAGATGCTTGTTTTTTTCCAGTTTTTACAAATATTTGTTCATTTTGTGCTATTTACGATCTGTATATGTCCAGTGTGTAAATATTGATTTTTCTCTAAAAGCATTCCGTACGGGGTCGGCATCATTAGTAATTAAAACGAGAGTTTACTGAGATTTTTAACGCTAAAAAATCCTCAAATACGGTTTTATAGAGCATAGGTGTAAATCTGATTATCTTCTTAATCCATATCCATCTAAAATATTAGAACATCTACATTCTAACTCACTCATCCTACAACCTCGACTAATTATTTTTCTTCAGTCAAAGATTACGATTCATTTCACATACATTTTGATATGCAGATGATAATAATACACAATATTTTCATCAAAAAGAAGTAAACGAAAAGTTAATCTCGCGTTTATAGAAGTTAAAATTGATAAAGAGCTTACGTATTATTATGCGTTTACTCATTACTGATAAAGACTGCAGTCAAATGTCTTTTTTTGATAGTGTGTATACCATTTCCATATAATCATTAAGAGGTATGATTTATATGTATTTTTTTGTTAAAATATATTGCTTTAAATCTCACCTTTAAAAAAGACACCAGAACGAAAAAAAGTTTGCTTACCAATGTAATTTTTTTCTTCTTTCCATGTGTTCGTGTTTGCAAAAAACAGATTGTTGTTTGCTTCGAATATGTAAATCATGACTCAGTATATATATATAAGAACAACAAATGCGAGTGCTAATAAAAGTATAATAACAAAAAAATAGTTGTGTATTTCTTTAGGGAATATGTTTCGTGGTCAGTAAAATAATTGAAATGTCAGTAAAAAAATATTGAAATGGTCAGTAAATATATTAAGTGGTCAGTTTGAAAAAAATCAGTAAACAATTCAAAAATGGTCAGTAGATTTTGTGAAAGTAGCAGTAAAAAAATATGGTTTTTGTCAGTAAAAAAAAGAAATTTGGTTAGTAAGAAATTCACTTTTGGTCTATAAAAAATTTAGTTTGTCAGTAAAAAATATTCATTATCAAAGAAAATTTTATTTAAGTATAATAAAGAGAATTTTCAAGAGCTATAGAAAGAATGAGAAGAAAACTCTATTATTGCACTAAGAGAGCAGTTTTAGCTTTATATGGACGACCACGTTTTCGCTTTTCGCCGATGGGAACTGTTTTTGCTGCAGCTGGTGGTTTGCAATGCTTTAATCGTATCCCCATCCCAACAACATGTTTACATATAAAGTTCTTGAGAAATGCCGGGCAGTTACATTTTGATTTTCTCCAATTTGAATCATTTTCTACTTCCAGACACCAAATATCAAATGATTTTTTCAATTGATTGAAGGTGGTAAATTTTTGTGTCTTGTATCTATTCAAATCTTTTTGAGGAATTGAATCTAAATCACGAGCTGGCATATAATAAACTTTAGAAGATTCATTGTTTAAACAAATAACATTTTTGTTTGATTTGGCCCATTGATATGATGAAGTCCATAACGCTAAACTGATTGTGGGTTCTGTAGCGAAATGCTTTGCATTTGTTAATGATGTATCACGATCTATTGACCAATTACGTATAATATCCGAAGATGTTGTCAAAAATCTGGATAAAACATGACGTTCACGAAACGTCCCATCGTCTTTGATTGTTCTGTTAGTAGATTCAAGCGCATTGTTGATAAAGTTCGCGAGTTTATATACGTATTAGATAGTACCTGGATGTGGTAATATCCCATTGCATTGGGAAAAAACCAACACAAGAAAATTCTTTCACTGATTAAAACAAGGAAAATTCCAAGCAGATAGTACTTTGGATAGACGTAGAAGTCACAGAACGAAAAAAAATGTATATCCTCTGTCATTTGTTATTATGGGAGAAGAAAAGAAAAAAAAAAGTAGACCAAATTTTCACAAATTTATATTATTTTACTTTCCATTTCATTTTATCTACTGATCGTTTAAATTTTATTACGGATATATTAAATTAATTACTGACCATTTCAATAATGTACTGATCAATCATTACTTTACTGACCATTCAATAATTCTACTGACTTTTGAATTTTGTTTTTTACTGACCGTTTCATTTATTCTACTGACCACTTAAATGACACCCATTTCTTTATGATGCAATTCATTCAAGAATCTACGAATGAATTCAATAAGTTATTGGTAGCGACTATTCACAAAGGTGATGTTACTTCACTAAAAATACAATTATTATCAGAATCAAATCCTGATCTGTATTTAAATCAAATATATGATGAACCACATGAACAAAAATGTACTCTACTTATGATAGCTTGTTTAAATGGAAACGAAGATATGGTGTATATGTTACTTAATTGTTTTAAACCTAATCTTGAAATATTAAATGTTATACGAATCAATAATGACGGTGAATCATCAACAACATACAAAAATGTTACAGTTTTATGGGCAGCAGCATCAATGAATCATTTAAGAATTGTAAAACAACTTGTTGAACATGGAGCTAATGTTAATCATACAACCAATATGAATTCAACACCGATACGTTGTGCTTGTTATCATGGTAATGTAAAAATGGCTCGTTATTTGATAGAGAAAGGTGCTAATATAAAAACTGCTAAAAAGAAAAATGATACAAATCTTTCTCTGAGTATATATCGTAAACATCTGACAATGACTTATTATCTTGTCGATGAATTAGGCTGTGATGTTAATGAATGTGATAATGATGGTTATTCACCACTTTACTTCGCAGTAAAATGTCAATCAATTCTACTAGTTCACTTTTTACTTAGTCGTGGAGCTCGTAATTTCCCATCAACTATTGATCATATGTCTCCGCTTATGTTGGCTGCCGAAGAAAGATGTACTAAGCTTATCGAGGCAATAGGTCCTTACTGTTCATTACTTGAACGAATCGAAGCCGAAGAACTACTTGGCAGTTCTTTTGCTTGTGCAGAACATGGGCAATGTGATCTTCAACAATCATTTGAACATTTCTGTCGAGCACTAGAACTAAGATCTATTCATAATCTTCCGAAACTTCCAATAAATTTAACTAGAGAAATATTCAATTATCGACAAGAATGTCAGACAATCGATCAACTCAAAGAATTGCAAGTAAACTTAGATAATATGTTGACGGAAGCATTTCTCGTACGCGAACGTTTACTTGGTCCAACAAGTGAATCATATCATTATTCAATTATCTATCGTGGAGCTACTCTTGCTGATGATGCACAATATGAACAAGCAATTAATTTTTGGCTCTTTGACCTTGAATTGCATCGAGAATATTCTACTTCCATTGATTCATACCGTTTACGTCAATTTTCATCGATCTTTTCTGAAATGATTACTGGAGTATTTCCTATATCGATTAATGCAATTCTAACATTGATGTCTGCAGTAGTTACAGAACTAAAACATAATACCAAAGGATTTGATGAAAATCTACATACTGTACTTTACTTAATAACTATCATCAGTCAGGTAGTTTTGTTTTGAAAAATTGTATTTATTTCTTATCAATTCTATATACAGCCTTCGATAGACGTATGCATTTCTTCTACTCATCGCAAAATATTCAATCAACTTCTTCAATCTATTAATAAAAATCGATACGTTGTAAGTAATTCTGGCTCGTCGCTATTACACTTATGTCTTAGTGATACTACTTCGATTTTTAAAGGTCCCTGCAAGTATGTTTAATATGAGAGCGATTTTTTTCTTTGATATTAAATGGTATATTTTCAGATATCCATGTGTACATACTGTTCGAACTCTTTTGAAATGCGGTGCAGATGTAAATGCAATGAATTTTGTACGAGATACGCCTCTACACATAGTTGTTTGTAACAGCAGTGATTGTGATGAAACTATATTTCAAGTTCTGTGCGATGCTGGTGCTCATCTAGATTATATGAATGCTTTACGTAAAATGCCTATCGACATTGTATTAAATCCGAATACTAAACGATTAGTTAAGGATAAAATGAAACTTAATCTGAAATGTTTATGTGCGCGGTTGATTCAAAAAAATGCAATACCATTTCATGGAAGAATTTGTACTTCTCTTATAAATTTTGTTGAGAAACATTGATTATAAATAAATCAAAATATATAGTATGACCCAAGGCATAACAAACCAATTGAAAAACACGCACTCCTTTTATATACACATTTTCAATTGATTTTTGTTTTTGAAAATTTTGAATATGATTTTACATTACTGATGAAACGATAAGCATTCGAAACAGAAATATTAATCGCTCTTTAGATAGTTAGTCGGCGAAGGCAGAATGCTTGTTGACTCTTTGACAAATATTTTTATTGACTTAGTGTCACTTTTAGAAAGTGATAAAATATGAGGTAAATAATATCATGACAAGTAAAACAAATATGTATTTATCGAAATATCTTGCTTTATTTTATATTTCATATGGGTTTTTCTAATTTAAGAAAACATTCGTTTTTGAAAATTTTATATTAACATACAATTTCACTTTTTATCTTAATAATAAAGAAATCAATCTTATTGTAAATGAAATTTTACTCATATTCATACTATGAAAATACTAATTCGAGAATTGCCATTAAAATGACTCCTATTGATATCATTTATCAAGCTATTACATGCGTCTACATCGAATAAATGACAGATGGTTGTAGAATGTGCGTATGACTGCATCTACATGCCGAAGATTCTTTTTCATTCTCTACTTTCATGTTTTTTCGTTCTCTACTACCTTGTTTCTCCGTTCTCATATAAAGACAATAGCTACACTAGTCATTTTTCATTTTGTAATATTCGCCGACATTATTAAAATAGTGTAATGGCATCGAACAATCTTCATATTGGTTGGGCAGATTATGCTATGTTAATTGTTTTTCTTGGTCAGTAGCAACTTTGAACCAGATATATACATTCTTTTTACTAACGAACTCATGTTTTATTTGGTAATAGGACTATCAGTAGTCATCGGTATTTGGCATGGATGCTTCGGAAGTAAACAGACGACTACCAAAGATTATCTTATCGCTGGTGGCAAAATGAAGGTTGGTTTTCTTATTAAAATATGTACATAAGAACATTGATATTCTCTTGAACATAGATGTTACCTACTGCAATGAGTTTATTTGCTACTCTCTGTTCTGCATCAACCTTGCTGGGTATTCCTGTAGAGATTTACAATTGTAAGTGAATGAGCTGTTCAATATTTTTGCTAAACAATAAATGTTGGTTCATGTTTTTTAGATGGAACCATCTACCTATATTTCAGTGCGTAGTATTTTTTTGTAAAGATTTCGATTCATGAATGTGTTATTATTCTAGTTTTTTCTTGGGTGATTGCTTCGTTTGTAGCAAGCCACATTTTTATTCCAAAATTTCGAGAACTTCATTTCATGAGTATTTATACGGTATATTAGCATCATTCTATAATTCGATTACTAATCATTGTCAAATTACCTTCCTTAACATTTAGTATATTGAGAAACGATTTTCAGTGGCATTATGTATCAGTATCACGTTGACATTTACTATTGGCATTGTAAGTAATGAATGATCTCAGATGTCGAAATCTTTTTTGATATGTTAATATAATAGATGCTCTTCATGTCGGCTATTTTGTATGGACCTAGTTTAGCATTAAGTCAAGTCACGGGGCTGGATAGTAAGACGATTATAATCCGGAACCATGTAATCGAACTTTTAATCTTTTTTGCCTTTAAGTCTGGGTTGCAATCATTTCTTGTGGAGTTATTTGCGCATTCTACAGTAGTATTGTAAGTATCTAATTGTATACAAAAATGTTACATAGATTTTTCTTTGTTTTCTCAGGGTGGTATGAAAGCTGTGATTTGGACAGATGTTGTACAAACCATCGTCATGTTTTTGGGTGTTATTCTTTCTATTGTCTTCGGTAGGTAAAATATATAATCATACATCAATCAATTTATTATGTCATTTCGTAGGTTTTATCAATGCTGGTGGAATATGGAAAGTATTTGAAACAGCAAATACAGGTCAACGAATCAATGTATTCAAGTAACTCTGCTTTTAATTCATTCATCTCAGATTTATTTAAAATATATTGTTCAATCAGTTTTAGCTTTGATCCGAGTATACGCTATACAATATGGTCATTGATGATTGGTGGTTCATTCTATGCTATATCGTGTTCTTGTGTTGTGCAAACACAAACACAACGATATATGTGTATGAGTAGTACACGAGCAGCTCAAAAGTAATTTGAAAGTTCAAATCGACTGTTATTTATTGATAATCATTATTTTTAGAGCTATATGGATAAATACTCTTATGTTGGCTCTTATTCTCTCTTTATGCAGTGTGGTCGGACTCTTAATTTATTCAAAATATCATGATTGTGATCCTTTGAAAGCGAAGCTCGTCTCGAGATCAGATCAAGTATAACATCTTTGATTTCTTCTACAGATACTTTCAACTAGTACTATCTGTAGTTCTATCCACTGTTTGTAATGGAAACATTTGAGCGTTTTCCTGGTCTTACAGGCCTTTTTATTGCTTGTATTATGAGTGGTTCATTAAGGTAAATGAATTCTATTTTGATTCTCTATCTTCATCAGAATCTTTTTATTAAATTCAGTTCCATATCATCAGGTATTAATAGTATTACAGCAGTGATGGTCGAAGATATCTGGAAACGTCTAATAACAAAGCGAGCACTCTCTGATAAATTTCAAACAATTCTTTCAAAATGCATATGTAAGAATTGAAATGACATGATATGAGTATTTGTTTTCTTCATTCTGATCATAGCGGTTGCCTTGGGTTTACTCACTGTTCTACTTGCCTTCTTTATGTCTTATTTGACAAATATTCTTGTGGTGAGTATAATGGTCATAATTTTTCGGAGAACTATATGGAAGGAGCATTTCACATACGCTTGTAGGTTGTATATTCTACTATGGGAACATTAGCCGCACCAATTTTTGGTGTTTTCGTACTTGGTTTCTTCTTTCCTCGAGTTAACAATAAAGTAAAAATATTTTGCTCGAATAATTTCTGGATATTCATATATTCCTTATAGAGTGCTCTCATTGCATTTTTCGTCAGCCTTGCATTTCAAATTTGGGTTCTTGTCGGTGCTACTTTGACGGCTCATCAACAACCAAGAAGAAGTTTGCCTACATTCATCAATGGATGCACATCGATCAATACTACACTCAATCTAATTAGAACAGGGTATTAAGAGAATGTCACATTCTTCTGAATTCGAAGTATATATGAATCGATTTTAGAACAAATACCAACAATAGTAACTTCTTCTTACCTTTGTACTCAATTTCCTTCATGTGGTATGCATTTAATGGTGTTTCATTAACAATTGTTGTTGGTCTAGCTTGCTCATTAATATGGAGTATGTAGAAGAAGAAATCTGATGAGGATATTTTGATTGGATTGATTGATCTTTCGTTGTCGAGT